CTGTTTTTTACAAGTATTGACATGATTTATTCTCTTATCCTTTCAATTCCACAACCAACAGAAAATTTAGACATATGGGCGCACACGAACAAAAGCCAAGGATGAAGCTTCGAAACAATCCGAACCTAGGTAGGCAAGGTTCACGTTATCTAGGATCTCGAAATTCGGAATTCGAAACATGCATCACAAGAGTCTTAATTGTAATTTGTGCAGGTAGCGTAATTTCGAAATGAGAGAGAGAGAGAGAAAGGGGGAGAGAGAGAGAGAGAGAAAGGGAGAGAGAGAGAGAGAGAAAGGGGGAGAGAGAGAGAGAGAAAGAAAGAGAGAGAGAGAGATGTAAAGAAAATGTATCAGGAAAAGTTCTAGATTAGTAACATCAAAAAATACAAGACTGAGGTGGAATGCAAGTTGTTCCAGGCTGACAAAGTCTTGCATTACACTGCCCTGTAAAATGACAGAATTTAAGAACTTAAGATAGTTTGAATGCTTAGTTTGCCTACACTGGAATTAGGATATGTATATGTATATATGTATTACGATATGTATATGCATATATGTATATTGTGTGCGTGTATATATATGCATTTATGTGTATATATGTATAAATGTATACAGATATATTTATATATATATACATTTATATATATACACACAAATATATGTATGTATATATATATATATATATATATATATATTATATATATATATATATATATATATATATTTGTGTGTTGTGTGTGTGTGTGTGTGTATTTGTGTATATATAAATAAATAAAATAATATATATATATATATATATATATATATATATATATATATATATATATATATATATACATATATACACACATACATATACATATAGGCCTACATGTATACATGTTTACGTGTTGCCTAACAACAGCTTCTAAACGTGTTAATGCAATCGTTAATACACATATTATTACACTGACACGTATTCGAACAAGTAAATCTGTCCTCAACGAACTCGGCGATGATTTCCCAAGTACCAATATTCAGACCCTAACAACAGACACCGTTTCCCTTCGCCATTCCAAAGCCCGGGCGAGGCTCAGCTTCGCATATTGGACTTATCGCCATTACCAACCACCTATTCAACAACTGCATTACAAATTCCCCCCAAACCCTCATATCAACATCAGTATTATTTCCGTTCATAAATCAGAGAGTGAGTGAGTCTTCGTCCTTAAGCAAATTAAATAAATGAAAAAATTATATCCATACTTGGCAACTTACGCCCTGTCCGAATTTCAAGGTCATTTTCTTCCAGACACTTCTGTTTGGATGTTACGTTAATGTTTGTTTATGTGTCATTCAGTGCATTTCACCTTTACTAAGGTATTATTACGATATTATTTGCATTATTGTATGATGTTTGAACCATTTGAATAGCATATAACCTATCATTGTCCGTGACACACACACACATAAATGTTTATGTATTCAATCATTTATTATTATTCTTTTTTTATTATTTTATTGGTGTGTGTGTAATGTCACAGGCCTAGTTCAGATATTCAGAAAAAATGAGGATGTTGATAATTGATCATAGCCTTAAACTTTAGAGTTCGCAGGCGAGACTATAGCTTAGCAGTCGGGTTTATGACATCAGCAGTCAGGGATTTGATGAGGTCATATTCAATTTACGAGTATGGCAACTGTATTTTTTTTTTTTTTTTATATATATATAACGTTGACCTCAAGTTTTTTATCGTTGTTAAGAACAAATCGTTCATTTTGTATTTACAATTGTTTGAACGCTGCCAATGACCTTGGATGTTGACGCGGCAGAAAACTTTCAAGTAAATAAATGAATACAGTTGCTTGACAGTTGTACAAAGGAAAATGTTTAGGGCAATGATAACATTTAGATAAACAGCTCCTAGTTTATGTTTAAAGATAAAATCCTCCAAGATACTTGTGTAGAATGTTGATGGGTGTTCTAATGTGCATGACAACACGCTGTTACTATGAATGGCGTCACCGATACTACAGTGATAGGTTGGTGCGAAAAAATATATAAGTACCAGATTATTCAACAATTTTCATATACTGACGCCCTAAGCTGTAGCCTAGGAAGTCTATATTTGGGAATTCGGGTCTGACCACAAGGGCATATCCTGCAATAATAATAGCAACAACTACGACAATAATGATGATAATTTTAATGATAAACGAAGTGCTTCACTGGCCAAAACTCAGTTTTATATGAAGTTTACCAAATTGTCACAAATTCGGAAAATGACATACAATGAGCGGACTTTCAAATGTTATATCATAAAAAAATTATAACAAAGAAACAAATAAATTACACTAAAACTACATTAAATACGGGTGGGCGGAATTCTGTTGGCCTTTGCTGGAGCGCTGAAGATGCGGAGGAAAGGCCTTGTCTCAGTCGCAGCTTGAACACGCACTGGAGAAAATCATAAATAAAACAATGAAAATAAATCTTAAAGAAAAAAAATAATAGGCTAAATATTATAAAACGTCATATATAAAATACATTTTCTTCAATCACATTTGTCTTATTTATTTATTTACTGAATTAATTATTATCATTATTATCCTTTTATTTCGTTATCGTTTCCTCTTCACCCAAACACCTCCCCATAAATATCCAAAGACAAAATCGTTCTCGAATCTCTTTTATCTCGCTCTTATCTCGTCGATAAGCATCCATTTCGGGAGCATCTTCGCCTATCTCTTTCCCTCGAGTCAGTTCGTGAGAATAGTGTTGATGTGAAGGAGTTTCTTAAAGGGTAACTTGGTTATTTGGGCATCGTGCGGGATGAGAGAGAGAGAGAGAGAGGAGAGAGAGAGAGAGAGGAGAGAGATGAGAGAGAGAGAGAGAGAGAGAGAGAGAGAGAGAGAGAGAGAGAGAGAGTGTGTGTGTGTGTGTGTGTGCCTATGTGCGTGTGTGCGTGTGCGTGTGCGTGTGCGTGTGCGTGTGCGTGTGTGTGTGTGTGTGTGGTGTGTGTGTGTGTGTGTGTGTGTGTGTGTGTGTGTGGTGTGTGCGTGCGTGCGTGCGTGCCTGCGTGTTGTGTGTGTGTGTGTGTGTGTATGTGTGTGTGTGTGTGTGTGTGTGTGTGTGTGTGTGTGTGTGGTGTGTGTGTGTGTGTGTGTGTGTGTGTGTGTGTGTGTGTGTACCATTTTCACACCCTGTAATTCCAAGACGACCCAGCTGATCAACAATCCATATTACATTATTTAAATACTATATCTTTTTTTATACATACTTATTCTTAGTTGCAGGACATTTACTATTTCCACACCCTCTAATTCCAGAGGACTTCTGAACGGGCAGAGTTAGCGACATGGCGACCCAGCTGATCAACACGAGCGAGCGATGTGTCGACGAGGCTCTGGAAGGCTTGATTGCCGGGAACTCCGGTCTCCTTCTCCTGCCGGAACAGGTTTGTCCTCTCTACGTACACATGGATAGATGGTGTGTGTGTGCGCGTGTGCGTGCGTGCGTGCGTGCGTGTGTAAATGTATGCGAGTGAACTCATTGGGCTGTAAATGTATCTGTAAACTATGCTCAGAGCCCTAATAAGTATAATAGTTTGTGTAAAATATGTACACCGTAGAAATGAGTGCAAAATGTAAGCAGCATAATCAATTGGAGTAATGCAGCGTTAATAAAGGTTTACCATAGTACTAGCCTTCTTCACGATGCAGTTTCTGTAGCGAGTCTATTAAACACTAGCCTGAGGAGACTATAATGTATACTATTCTTAAAACTTGTTGAATATCTCTGCAGGTATAACCTCGATTAAGATATGTGTAAATGTTTGTGTTGATTATTTCCAAACTGTACTGGAGTTATTGGTAATTATCTATGTAAGATCAAGAATGATTCTGTATATGGGCAGTTTGACACCATTTTAAAAGCAAATTCAACATTTTGAAACACCATTTTCTGGAAAAGAAGGGAACAGATTGTCCTTTTAATCCATTACATTGGGAGACCTTGTGTAGACATTTATTCAAGAGGAAAATCTATCCATCTGGTGGCAGTAGTGGGATTAAACAAACCTTCTTTTATGTTATATTATGATTCTACATTATATTCGTTTGTATGTCTGCTTGTGCTGTATCTTTCTGTATTGTACATGTTCATTTGAATAGTATGTATCATTTAAATGGGTCATTGATGGTCTGGTGTATATTTTCAACATTTTCAAATAAATATAGGACTTCCCACTGCCCATAAAAAATAATGCAGATGTGGATGCTGTTATATGTGGATGTTGAATATGCCCTAGACTAATTTTGTCTGTGACAAAACCAGGTCGATCATAGACGAATTTCGAGCATTCTGACGATAAGTTACATAAGACAAAGGTTTAAAGTATGTTTCTGGTTAGGAGCTAAAATTTTGGAAAATAATTTTTAAGACAAATTCTTGAAATCTATAGCTATGCACCTTAATCTAGCAGCAGTTGAATTGCCTGGTTTTAGCACGATAGCAGCCCGTTTGTCTTCCGTTGATTAGACCAGCCTTCTAAAAGCCATGTTCTGGTCTGTGCATGTACTGTATGTATACCTTTGACCCGTGTGCCTTCATTACATTTGATTATATCTCTCTCTCTCTTCCCCTCATTCTCTCTCGCTTGACCTTTCGTTCATCTACTTTCCTTCACTCTTCTCCATATCCCTCTTTCTCCCTTCCCCTCTTCCCCCCTTCTACCAATCCCTTCCTTCCCCCATTACTTTTTTTCCTTTCCCCTCTTCCCCCCTTCTACCAATCCCATCCTCCCTTCCCCTCTTCCCCCATTCTCCCACTCCCTTTCTCCCTTCCCCCTCTTCTCCCCCTCTCCCTTCCTCTCTTCCCCCACTCCCTTTTTCTTTTCCCCTCTTCCTCCCTTCCCCCCTTCCTCCCTTACCCATCTCCCTTCCCTCCCTCCCCTTCTTCCTTCCTTCCCCCTTTCTCTTCCTGCCTCCCTTCCCTTCTTCCCTTCCTTCCTTCATCTACCACTCTAACTCAAGTCCCCTCTCGGCACCTCCAGCGCATGGTGGTCGAGCGCGCGTGGCTGACGGGGCGGCGCAAGGGAGTCGCTATTGTCACGGGCGGAGGATCAGGGCATGAGCCTTTTGCCGCCGGTAAGTGTGTTCTGTCAAAGTTTTTTTTTTCTTTCTTTCTTTCTTTTTTTGTCGTTTTTTTTTTTTCTTTTTCTTTTTTTTTATTAGTTTGGTTCTTTGTTTGCTTCTGATTTTTAAAAGTCGAGGAGGTTGGTTGATGGTTAGTTGAATGCATTAGGGTCGAGCAATATATTGTGTTTCAGATTTTAATCGTAACCAAGAATTATTAACAAACAGGCAAGCTGCAAACGAGCTTCACCAACGTGACAGTCATTACGTCGTTGTCATTTCAACCTGCCAACAGCCATCAGCGACCTATCAAGTGTGTCTCCGTCTCTCCGAGTATACTACAGTACTGCCTCTCTCACTATATATATCTGTGTGTGTGTGTGTGTGTGTACATGCACACACACACACACACATACACACAGATATATGTATATATACATGCTCAACTTGTATTTATTCATTTATTAATGAATTTATTGTTTTCCTCCGTTCCTCCTCCATCCTCCCCCTTCCCCACTTCCCTTACCCACTCCCTACTCCCCCATCCACCCCAACTCTTCCCCAACCTCCTCCCTCCCCCCTTTCTCATTCCCTTGGCCCCCCCCCCCCCTTCAGGCTACGTCGGGGAGGGAATGCTGGCGGCGGCTGTCGCTGGCCCCGTCTTCACCTCCCCGCCCCCCGCCTCCATCGCCGCGGCCATCACGGCTGTGGGGAAGGATAATCCAGGTAGGATATGGCTGGGTAAATTGGGGAAGGATGATCCAGGTAGGATATGGTTGGGTAAATTGGGGAGGATAATTCGGGTAGGGTGACGGTTGGATAATCTAGGTGGGACTCTGATTGGGTATCTCAGGATAAGGTTGGATAATTCGTGTAGGATAAGTTTGGATAATTCAGGTAGGATAGGGTTATGTAAACTGTATGTAAGGTAATCCAGATTGGGTGGAGGTTGCATAATTCAAGTAGGACGGTGGTTGGTAATCCAGGTAGAATAAGATTGGGTAATCCGGATAGGACTGGTTGGATAATCCAGGTAAGATGATGGTTGGATAATGCATTTAGAATGATGGGTAACCTAGCTAGGACTGTGGGTAAATAAGTCAGGTAGCACTTGGGTAATCTAGGTAAGGCTGTGCTGGATAATCCAGATAAGGTGACTAGATGATTCAGGCAGGTTGGTGGTTGGATCTCTTTCACCTCAAGTTCATACCCATCCGTAGGAGCGTAAACAGCAATAAGACATGAAACCAAATGAAAGCTTCAGTCTCAAAACCATAATACGCTCATCGACTGCAGTGACCTCTACTACCGAGGGTTGAAGTCTGCTGGAGATGGCTATGGCTACTCCCTGGAGATGGTGGCCATCGCTGCGGCCCGACCAGTAATAGTTGTAGCCACCTACACTAATCGTGCCTTGGGCAATGGCAAGGTTACAGACCTTGACTTTGCTGATGATGTTGCTATTCTATCTGAATCTTAGAAACCCTAGTGGGGGATCTTGATGCATTTAGAAATGAAGCGAAGCCCCTGGGGCTAGAGGTCTCCTGGACCTACTAGGAGACCCTGTGCTGTCGGTTCGTGCTTGCGGTGAAAACATACACCTCGGTAGTGCAGTTTTTGACTCCGGGCTGTCTGACCAGGAAGTCAGCAGACAGGTTGGCCTGGCAGCAGGGGTCGTAAAACCTCTCGATAAGAGTATTTGGAGATGCCGGTACCTGTGCAAAAGGACCAAGATACGTGTCTTCAAGGCCCTGATCAACTGCCAGTTTTTCTGTATGGTAGTGAAACCTGGACGCTATCTTGTGCCTTGAAATCGCATCTTGATGCCTTTTGTAACAGATCCTTGCGCAGGATTATGGGGTACAGTCGGCGGGACTATGTGTCCAACCAACAGTTGCACTGTGAGACCGATACAGAACCTGTTACTTGCACAATCCGCGATCGCCAACTCAGGCCCACCAGGTTGTCTCTGTTCGAAACAATCCTGAGTGGAGGAGGCCTATGGGACGACCGAGGAAGTCGTGGCTTGGGCAGATCGATAAAACCTGTCGTGAGGAACTAGAAATGGGCCGGGCCCCTGCCAGGCGGCTCGTCATAAGGGACCCTCGTAGGTGGAAACGAAAGGTGGATGCGGCTATGCGCCCCCGCTGGCGTTAGCTCCCAAATGGTGATGAAATGATAATGGTGGTTGGATAATGCGGTAGAGAGATACATCGATATTTACAAATACACGTATCCATTCGTTGTTCTTGATATAGGCCTACCCTTAGAAAAAAATAAAAAATGAAAATAATAATAACCATCCAGTTTTCTATTTTTTGTCAATGGGCAATATATTTCTATATATGTGTATATATCTACACATTTTTTCTTCTTTTTTTATTCCCTCTTCTATGTTTCTTTTCTTTCGCTTCTTCCTTTTTTTCTTTTTCTTTTCTTTTTTCTTTACTTCTTTTTCTTTTGTTTTCTTCTCTTTCTCTTTCTCCTCCTTTCTTTTTCATTCTTTCTTTTCTTTTTCTTTGTTTTTCTTTCATTTTTATTTTCTTTTTCTTTCTTTCTTTCGTTTTCTTTTTTTTCTTTTCTCTTTTTTTCTTCATCGTTTTCTTTTTCTTTCTATTTTTTCTTTTCTCTTTCATTCTTTCTTTCTTTGCTTTCTTGTATAAACAATGTCTCAATCTCTTCCGCTCTTCCTTCCACTCCTCCCCCTCCCCCTTCTCCCATCATCTCCACCACCATTTTCACCCCCTCCCCTTCCCCCCACCTCCACTTTCACCCCATCTACCCCCACCCCCACCACCTCCACCACCACTTTCACCCTCCTACCCCGTCCTCCCACCACCACTTTCACCCCCCTACCCCCTCCTCCCTCCCCCAGATGGCGTGTTGGTGGTGATCTTCAACTACACTGGAGATCGAGTCACTTTCGGCCTGGCGGTTGAACGCTGTCGGGCCGCCGGTATGAAGGTAAGGAAGCCTGTGTTGTAGGGGGGAGTGTGGGGGTGGGTGGAGGTGAGTGGGGGTGGGGGGGTGAGTGTGTGTGTGTAAAGGGTGGGGGGAGTGTGAACGAAAGGGGGGGGAGGGGTGGGGGTGGGGAGGGATGATGATGATATCTATGTAATTTACTTGTCTGTGAGTTTATTATAGAATCTACGTTATTCTTTTTATATAGGCATTTTGATCTGTCTACCAGTCAGTCAACCTATTTATCAGTCTGTTTATCCATCTCTTCTTCCATCCATCTATCACTCAATCTATCTTTCTATCTATCTGTCTCTCCCTCCATCTGTCACTCTATCCATCCATCCATCCAACTACCGTTCAATCAATCCATCCATCCATCCATCTACCACTCAATCTATCCATCCATCCATCTATCTACCACTCATTTTATCCATCCATCCGGCCATCCATCTACCACTCACTCCATCCATCCATCCAACTACCACTCACTCCATCCATCCATCTACCACTCACTCCATCCATCCATCCATCTACCACTCACTCCATCCATCCATCCATCTACCACTCACTCCATCCATCCATCCATCTACCACTCACTCCATCCATCCATCCATCTACCACTCACTCCATCCATCCATCCATCTACCACTCACTCCATCCATCCATCCCTCCTTCCATCTATCTATCGAAAGCCATTTCCTCGCCTCTCTTTTCCAGGTGGGAATGTATGTTAGCGGCGACGACTCCGCCCTCGCCCGAGTCTCAGGCACCGCTGGCAGGAGGGGCCTCTGTGGCACTATGTTTGTGCTGAAGGTGAGAGAGGGAGGGAAGGGGAGAGAGGGAGGGAGAGGAGGGAAGGAAGGGGAGAGGGGGAGGGAGGGAGGAAGGGAGAGAAGGAGGAAGAGGAAGATCATGTTCTTAGAGGGAGTGGGAGGGAAAAGAGTGAGAGAGGGAGGAAGAGAAGGGGAGGGAAGGAGGCAAGGGGAGAGGAGGAGGGAGGGAGGGAAGGATAGAGAGAGAAGAAGGGAAGGGAAGAGGAGGGAAGAAAAGGGGAGAGAGAGAGGGAAGGAAGGAGGAAGAGGAAGATGAAAACGGAGGGAGGGGAGGGAAAAGAGTGAGAAAGGGAAGGAGATAAGGGGAGAGAGGGAGGGATGGAGGGTACTGTGCGCAACTGTATTTGTGCTGAAGATGAGAGACGGGGGGGGGGAGAAAAGAAGAGGAGGGAGGGAGGAAAGGAGAGAAGAAGACAGAGGGGGAGGGACAGAAGGTGGTCGGATGAGAGAGAGGGAGGGGGGAGGGTGATAAAAGGAACGAGGGAGGGGGCAGGCCACATCTTCACATAAACAGACGATACAGGTGATTGAGCACAAAAACTCGCATATAAAGTACCTGTTTGATGGGGAAAACAAGGTAACGAGAATAGCCAGCAAGGGTTAGGTTATTAGCCGAGGTCACTGGCGCTCTGGTATGCATGTTAGCAGTGACCTCTTGACTGATAATGACGAATGGTGATAATGATTTCCCAGATGATATCAGCAAACACAGAATAACATTGAAATATAATGATCACTTTCTCATATCATGTTCTTGAATAATGATATTTGTGATGAAGCGGTAACACCGAATGATAAGGATATAAGTTACAATAATAAAGTCTATGGCAGTTTTAATAATAATAAAATATAACGATAATAATTTTAATCGATCCCAAAAGAGAAGTAGTAAAATTAACAAGTATTAGAAAAATGAAAAACAATCATAAGCCGAAACAAGGAGAGAAAAATATACAACGACGATAAAACCCGGACGTTAATGGCGATTCCCGTTTTCTTCGCCGTCAGATCGTGGGCGCCATGGTCCAGGCAGGTGCCACGTGGATCAGGCCCTGGAGACATGCCACAAGCTCGGTAGTGCCATGGAACTATAGGCTTTGCTGCCAGTGCGTGCCAGATGCCGGGGGCGCCCAAGCCCCACTTCACAGTGCCCCAGGGCATGCTGGAGCTCGGCCCTCGGGGTACATGGCGAGAAAGGGGCCAGCCACTATAAAGGTGAGGTGCTTGAAAACATTTGCACAATCAAGATATTTATTATATCCGTTTCACTTTCTTGGCCAACTACTTCTTTCTACTTGTCTCTTCCAACCAGTCACTGCATGGCTTGATTTTTGCTGTTAGGTCTTTAAATTCTTTCACCTCAATCATTATATCCTACTTTTTCAGCCAGTTATGTCTTTCCTCTCTTAGCCAATCCTTCGTGTCTTGCTTTTAGCTATTCAATAACTCACATGTCCAGTCACATTCCTTCTTCTAAGCCGATTCACTCTATTAGTACCAGTACTGCCCTATTTGAATCAGTGGTGCTGTTCTGCCATGGCTAATCACTGCATTTCTCTTCCAAGCGGTGATGCTTCATGTAACCAATCACTAAATTTTTCCTCTCACCCTTTAGGCAGGAAACAGCATCTGAAGTGATGAAAACGCTCCTGGACAACCTGACGAGGGAGGAATCGGAGACACTTCTTGATCTGCAGAAGGGAGATGAAGTGGCAGTCATCGTGAACAACCTCGGGTGCACTTCGGAACTTGAAAATGGGCATTCTGAGGAGAGAAGTTGTGACGCAGCTTAGTAAGGGATTTGAAATTATTTCGTTAGTGTCTTTGATCTTCTCCTTGTTACCATTCTCTCTCTCTCTCTCTCTCTCTCTCTTTCTTTCTCTCCCTCCTACAACAAAGCCCTGCCTTTTCATGACTTTGTAAGGAACAACTTATCTACACAGTAACCTCTCTTAAACTGCCTTAGCACATATATTTCATGATGTCATGGTCAGTCATTTTCTATCTCTTAGAAATGCACTGTACTTTTCCACTGTATTTTTTGCACTGCATCTACCGGCAAATTTGACAGTTCTGTTGTCACGGTAAGTTTGTATCCAAATTCATTACCAATATTCCAGTGAAAACGAACTCTCAGTAAAATTGTTATATCTCAGGGACAACACTTAATTCAGTTATATACAATACCAATCTTCAAGATACAGAATATGTCAGAGGTTTGTCACTTCCCACATCCATCCATCCTTGTAGTAGTAGATTCATCCCCACTGCTGCCACCATTTTTTCTATTTAAAAACCCACAGTGGTTTCTTCATCAATCTCAGCTGTAGCAGATCATGGAGGGAAGTGTAAGTGAAACTGGGATGTAAGTAGATAGGTCGTGTATTAGTAGAGATCATGGAGGGACAATAGAGGAGCAGGCCTATAATGAGGTGTGTTTGAGTCAAGGTCACTAGACCAATAGTCTCATAAGAATTTCATCCAGAACTGCGTGATTGCACAGGGCTTAAAAATTATGTTTTAATGGTGATTCGCAGCAGATGCAGACTACATAGTCTCTTGAACCTCCATCTCTGCCCTTCCTCATCCTTCCAAAGTTTTTGAACATTTAGATTCTTATAATTGTCATTCTTATATATTTATGGAAAGCTTTTGCCTTGGTATCTGGATTACTAGTTATTTTGTTAACTATGAGCGTGATGATGCTTGCAATGGCAGTATAGTTATATTTACTCAACGGGATATATGCATGTTTCTGATAATAGTATTTCACCCCCTCTTTCCCCCTTAATTCCTTCTCAACTTTTTCTTCAACTTTGCTACTACTTCTCATCTTGTCCTTTCCTCCATCTCCTTTGCTGCCATCCTATCATCACTTTCTTATTTTTGTTAATCCTACTTCATCTTCCAACATCCCCATCTCTTCCACACCCACAGAACAGCGTGGGCATAAAACCCATCCTGGCTCCAAGGATCACTCATGACAAGTCTGGACAATGAAGGGCGTACACATATCTGTCTTGAGGATCCTGGATCCTCATGGGTGACCCTCCTTGAGGCCCCAACTTCCGCACTGTGGCCGACACCCATACTCATAAGGGTGGCAGGATGAGGCATTTAGCGTGCCGAGTACGATCTCACCTGTCTGCCCGTGAAGCGCTGGTGGGTCAGTGTATTCTTAATTGTACTGTTTGCTGATTTTCCTTCTCCCTACCACCAGTATCATGAATAGTAAAAGTATTATATCAATCAATGTTTATATTATGTTCTGTTTACTTTTACTCTTGTTGTCAGTATGATTATTGATTCAATATTTTTGATGAGTGTAGAACTTAGTGTTATTGACCTGGGGTTTGTGTGGTTGATATTTATCACTTGTTACTATTACCTCCATCCCCAGAGGAACAGCTACACTTGAATGGACCTGCCCATGACCAGGCCCTAAGGGCATGTCTCTGACATTCACTCGTGACAAAGGTTCCTCAGCACGAGGAGGCTTCTTAACACCTCGACTCAGGTGCGGCGATGGTGACGTGGTGCCACCTTGCTTCTTGGGATCGAGGTCAGCGACAGCTGTCCCAGTGGTAACAGAGCATGGGACAGGTTGGGAAGATTTTGAAAATGTCATAGTTGGACTTTTTTTACGGATCTTATTGTTAGAGTAAACGAAAGAGGGGGGAAAGCTTTAATATAGCTTAATAAAATTAAGCTTTAAAAATAACTATCTAGAATTTAAGCTTAAAAAAAATGATTAAAAAAAATCAACAATCCTCTTCATCCCCCCTCTCCATTCCTTCCTCCCCCAGCCATCCTCGGCTCAGCTCCCCGACCTGCTACGCCCACCCCGGCGCCCTTTTGGCCCTCTCTCGGCGACGTGGCCTGCGTCAGAACCATGGGCGGATCGTCAGGAGGCTCTATTCCATCCTCCTGACGGCCGCGCATCCCACCTCGCCTCAGCAACCCTCAGATGGGCGTGTCAACCGAGAGCGCGATGGGCGGGCGCTGGGAAGGGCGTCTTAGCCGTAGGAGAATACGGGGGAGCAGGGCGGGCGACAGGACGATTGTGAGTTGGCTCGGCGGTTGAGGGCGTGGAGTTGTGATTCTTATTTAGCGTTTATCTTATTATTATGATTTGGTATTGTTGATTGTTTTTCTTATTATTATTCTTATCATAAATTATTATTGTTATGATAATTTTTGTTTTATTATTGTAGTATTATTAGTATTATTATTATAATTATTATTATGCTTCCATTTATATATTTATTATTATGCGTAATTATATGATGTGTGGGTGTTGTGAGAGAGAGAGAGGAGAGAAGAGAGAGAGAGGAGAAGAGAGGGAGAGAGAAGAAAAAAAGAAAAGCAAAAGTGTTCAAATATATATATGTACGCATATGTGTTTATGCAACATACATTAAACAAAAAAGAAGGAAAAAGAACTTTTTAAAAATAGCACAACGAGGCTGCCTCATACAGCAGCATACCTTGACTTTCATATCACAAATGGGCTCGCTAGATTTCAAAATTGCTCTAAGAATTGCTTGCATCTGGCCACCTGCACTTGATCTGTGCTCTGAGTCATGCATCATTTTTTCGGGCTTTCTTGAGCCCACGGAGTGTGATTGTCTTCATTGTTCCTCTTGCTTTTTTTATGAGTTATTATCTGTGGATATTATTGTTTTGTTTGCTTTTTTTTTTGTTTTTTTTTTTTTTTTTTTAAATATTAGGTGTTATGAATTATTGTTTATATTATTATATTATTAGTAGTAGTAGTAGTGTAGTAGTAGGTGTAGGTAGTAGTAATAACCTCATTTTATTACATCATGTTATAACCATTAGACTATCATTACCCTAATTATATCATATGCTCATTATTCCGTTACTAATAATCTAAGATATGCCAGTACGATAGACTTTCCAGTAGCTGACGACCTTAAGGAGTTATAAACACGATCCACTATTCACAATGTGTCTTAACAGTCTTAATCGAATCAGCCTTGTATGATAACAGGATATATATAAAAAAAAACTATAAACAAAAATAAATGGAATGCCTTGATGTGTTATCACCGTAGAGAAAGCAATGAAATGTTGAAAGGCCTTCACAAGTGGTTAGAAAGTCAAGGCTCAGCATGCCTTCGAACGAAGCCCAGCCATTATTTTCTTTATTCTTATGTTTTTGGTTTGTTTTCCGAAATATAAACAAAAAAAAATAAAATAAAAGGAATAACTTCAAACGCAGAACACAAAATGAAGAACTAAGGTTCAAGAGATATGTATTTCAAAATTACTAAAACACCGTCTAAAAGGGGCGGTGAATTGTCAGGAGAACTCTTTTGTGAAGCTTCTCGCGAACCGAGAGCATGAATTCATCCTCGTCTGTGTCTGTTTGTTCGATTTTTTTTAATAAGATAAAATAAAAGTTACGGTTGAAAGCAAAAAGGGATTTTTTTCGTGTGTAGGATTGGTTGTATCGTTGTTGTGTTTGTTTGTGAGTTTCTTTTTTTGTTTGTTTCATTTTTTTTTTATCTCGTCATTTTTTTTTCTATCTTCCTAAATTTCTTCTGTGTCCTACGTCATTATTGTCATCCACTCTTCTTTCTCATCTTTTATCTTCTTTCTTATCTCTTTATAACCTTCCTTTCTATCCTACCGCTCTACATTTCTCCAATTCTGTCTGGTTCTTTATGTTCTTTATTTTTCCTTATTTCCTCCTTTACTTTATCCTCGTGCCTCGTTTCTCTTTCTCTTTTCTTCTTAAAACTCGCCTTGATCGCCATTTCCTGTTTTACTATTTTCATCGCCTTCTCTTCCTCCTCATCTTCCTTTTTTATTTCTTTGTCTTCCTTCTTGCTTCTGTCTTTCATGTCATTTTATTCTTATGCATTTTCTTTCTCTCTTCCTCTTTCATGTTGTGTTTTCTCTCTTCATCCTCCCTGTTTATCTACCCCTTTCTCTCCTATCCCGCGTTTTCGTCCCTCCTCTTCACGTCTTATTTCTTGTGTAAATTGATTTAATGCTTTTTGAGGCCAACACTACTGTACTTTTTACTCTAATCGTATAACCGCTGTCTCGGTCTCTTTTATTCTCTCTCTTTCTTCTTCTTCCCGTCTTGATCTCCCTATTCTTCCTCTTCTCATCCCTTCTCCTTCATCCTCATCCTCTCCTTCATATCTCTCTCTCTCTACTCTTCTCTCTTCTCTCTCTCCTCTCTCTCTCTCTCTCTCTCTCTCGGTCTCGCTCAAATCTCTTTGATCTCCGCTCTCTATCTCTTGAATCTCGCTCTCTCTCTCTCTCTCTCTCTCTCTCTCTCTCTCTCTCTCCTCTCTCTCCATCTCGCCCTCTCATTGTGTGTTGCTCAGGAAGTCAGAAACTAGTGATCGTTATGCAAAAAATGGGAGATACACATATTATGACAGACCAAATATTGCTAACCCCTTCTACGAGCGGGCTTGCGCATTTTACATAAGAACTCAATTCCATCGAAAGTGATCGATGACAATCGTGACAAATCCTGGGTTGAACATCGATAGTATTAATGTATAAATCCCATGATAGGAGGTGGTACCTAAACCTCCTGAATCATGAGACATACTGATATGTCTTATTGTGTGGGAATTTAATGCTCGCCATCTCTCCCAAGCTCCGAGGGAAGTACCATTGGCAAAAACGGTAAGGCTATTTTGATATCTCCAAAAATAGTGATCCCATTACACTTATGGCCTCCCGAAAAAAAACTCATTATTTGGGAGGGAAATTGGACATATATAGCTCTATACAATCAAGAACCGATACCAAGTACTGCAGAAGTCCTTACAATTCTTAGTTAGTGATCCACGGGCATTAAGTAAAACCCGCCCTTTTTGCAAAAGAACCCACACCCAGCCACGCCTTCGATACCACCTTGCTTTACTACTAAATTCACAATGTATTCATTGAAAGGATTGCCTGCTGGTATGAAGACTTTACTCCTACCAGCTGGATCGCTTTATGAACCCGCTGTCTGCAGTTGGCAATATCATTACTCAATACAGCCCATAAAGCTCTGCCAATACAGATCTCTATCCTCCAGAGGCAGAAATGCACTACACTAACAAAGACCCTGAGATAAAACTTCTTAGGAGATCATACGATCTACAGTAAGCAGCTACGACACTTGGGGAAAATCCGTTCTTAGCCAGAGATCTTGTGTTTTGCAGTAAAGAGATCAATGAGATAATAACACGAAAGCGGGAAGAAAAATTTATGCCTGGGCAAATCAATTGACTCATGACCAACCATCGAGTAATGAATGAAGGAATATTAGGCAAGATCATAGGCAATCCATGCGTATAACACCCACCCCCCTTCCAGAAAGGGTAGCCTCATCTCTCCTCAATAAATGGTGTGAGGAGGTCTGCTCTTGATAGCCTCCATTATCCATACGTAGGGTTCTTTTAATTAAAGCCTAATAACGAACTTGACTGCCAGTGCCACTCTTAGATGAGGCTATCGCTCCATTTAACATGTGAGGAACTCCGTGCAGCCATTAAGAATAGCAAAAATCCACCGTCCTGGGATGGTGGAATAACTATGGGACATCATAAGACTTCTTGAAAAGTACAGGTAAAGGGAAGAAATCCTCTTCTGATCTCTTCAAACTTAACCTTCTGACATGCTTCTTGCATACCCTCTTGGAAACGGGCACCATTATTCCCATTCCAAACCACGGACGCCCTGATGATTATAGGGACCAATTTCTATGACGTCCTAGCCTTGTCAAAAATCTGTGAAAGAATTCTCCTCACGCATTTACTCCTCAGATCCCAAAAGACATGATCCATCCATCTGTCGTTGGCTTTCAAAAGGGAGGGAACACAAATGTGTCTAGCACCAGTACCTAAATGGGACGTAATGCACAGTCTTCTTACTTCATAGACTTCCAGGGAAGCATTCGACCGAGCCTCCCTACTGCAATCCTCCATGAACTAACTCTTTAGAGTAAGGGAAGCTTATGCTGATAAAAGTTATCTATCTTTGAGAAGAGCAAAAGTGTGGTATAAGGCATCTCATAGTGCTTATGGCGATTTGGGGAATTAGGCACTCCACAAGGGGGAGTGTTGTCCCCAACACTGTTTAATATAGTATGCACTCTCTTTGCCAGGCTCATGATGACGTTAGGAAAAACCTATGAGCATCACATCCTATGCTGATGACATTCTTCATTCAGGTGTTTGATAGGGGGTTTACGTTCTCCAGAGGTCTCAGCAAAAAGTGTGCCTCCTTGGTCTCATAATCAACCCATCATAACTAAGCATATTTCCAAATCTCGTAGATTACTTACCATTCCAAGGTTAGGTGGACAAACTATTGCAAGAGTGACACTTACAAAAATCTGGTGTTATGGTGACTGCCTCCCCTTGTAGTTTTACAGAATAAGGCTATGGAAATTATATTGGATGCCCAGTGACCGCTAAAAGTTTCATCATTAGGAAAGAGTTAGACCTCCCCCCCCCCCCCCCCCCCCCCCCCCCCATTCTATTCACAGTCGTGTCATCCAAGTTAAACACCCTACTTGACATCGGATCCTGCGCTTCAAACCAAGACCACAAATCTTCAGCATCCTATCAAATGAGATAAATTATATGTCAGGATACCCGGGTCGATACTCCAATCTCATACAGGTCCAACTTAGAAGGAAAACAAAACTGCCTTCTTACTATCTTGTTCTCAATGTATGGAACAAACGAAGCTATTAAATATTCAGATACAGTACTTATGCTCCTTGGCACTGATACTCATGTACGTGATCATATTGATATATAATAGGGTCTAAATCTATGGCTTCAAAAAACGGAATTAAAAGCTCATTACTTGGAATTAATAGATGGCATCTACATCCCCTCATGGTAGCCCCCATTGCAATCTACTGTGATGCCTACACGGTCCTCTTGGGCAACAGGGGTTGGTGTTCTAATTCCTGATATAGACTTGAAGAACAGTGAGTGCATCTCCAACTGGACAAGCACAAGATGCGATTCAGTAGCTATCTATCATGACATTAAGAAAGTAGTGAACAGCAGCGAAACCTGTCTGTTTACCAGGACAGCCAGGGTGCCTTAACAGGTTACTGCATTGTACTCCAGAATAACATGGTAACTTAGTGTATCCTTCACCAAATTTCTAAATTATCAGAACGGGGTACCAAGTGCACTATACTGGATACCCTCTCATAAGGAATTTCACTATGTGGACAGGGCTGATCAATTAGCAGGTTAGCCACTTTCCATGAAGATCCATATATGTAATACCGCTGTCTCTATTCAAAATGAAAAAATAGTTATCGACTGTCTTAGAGATTGTGAGGATCAGGTATGGACCATGAAAAAAGAGGATGTACTAATCTGGCACTACGAGGTGTTATTGGACATCAAATTTAGACAAGCCCTATAGAGTCTATCACAGGACTGTCTCGGAGGGACAACCCCCCTCCCCCCGGTGTTACATTAATTAGGTACGCCTAGGATAATTCAGTACACTATAACAATATGTACAGGATGCTGTTTTGGATGAAATCTGTTTTATATCACAATTGCAGACGTGCAAGGAAACCAAGTCGCATAATCTCACTATTACTTACTCTGATGCATAAAGACTGCATCCTATCGATCAAATAGTATGTTCACAGAATGAGCGCTTGTTGAGTATATTACTTTATCATAGACACTGGTCTTGTCTTTGACCTGATTAGTGATGTAAAAGTTTTTACCTGTCAGATGATATTTTAATATTGTGATAACAGCACAGCCATTCAGGCTTGTATGTAAACCTAATGTTTGGCCCTCTAACAACTCTCCTCCTCGTTAGGATAGATGCTTTGGTATCTTACCCTGGCTTTTTGCAGGGGCATTACACTGTTCTGTTAAATAAATGTTATTCAAATCAATCTATCTTCTCTCTCTCCGGTCTCGTTTCGCCTCTCTCTCTCCCTCTCCTCTCCTCTCTTCCCTCTTTTCCCTCATTCCCTCTCCCTCTCTTCCCTAGCTTCCCTTAATCCTCCCCTTCCCTCCCTCTCTCCCATCCCCTCTTTTCCTTCTCCTCTCCCTCCCCCCCCCCTCCCCCTCCCTCCCTCCTCTCTCCCCTCCTCTTCCCTCCTTCTCCCTCTCCCTCTCCCCCTCTTCCCTCTTCTACTTCCCGCTCCCTTCCCTTTCCCTCTCCCTCCTCTTCTCCCCTTTCTGCCTTTCCCTATCCTCTCTCCACCTCCCTCTCTCCCTCTCAACCTTGCATAGACTCTCGTGACACAGGTACGAACGTAGACATCGAATAGAGAAAATCTTTCTAGTAGGCGGATTATTATTTTTTTTTTTCTTCTTCTTTTTTCTTTATATATTATAAAATCTTTTTTTTTTTTTTTTCTTCTCTTTTTCTTTTTTTTCTTTTTTTTCTAATTCTCTACGTAGATAGATAGATAGATAGTCAGATCGAAGATGGTTAGATAGACACCTTTGTCAACGGATTTATTTATGTATTTTATTCCGTTTTGTTGTTATTCTTTGCATGCGGATGGATAGGTAGGTAGACCGACAGAGATAGATGGATAGCTAGATACCTCTTGTTATCGTCCTAAAAGGATGGCAGACAGACAGACAGATAGATTGACCTGATGATAGATAATTTTTTAGATTATTCCTCATTTTTTTTTCACCCACCCTCTACTTCAAATAGGGGAATTAATCCAAGAACTTTATCAATTTTAAAATAAACATTTTCCCCCCCGATTTAAAATTCAATTGGTTTAATTAAATATTACGTAAAGATGGTAATCCTAAAAAGGAAGTTCCATTAAATAGACTTACACAGAGTTAGTTTTAAATTTAATTAATCGGACAATCGACAAAATTTGGGACAATTATTTGAAGTATAATATTTAGGGAAATCAATTTACGCTTCTATTTAGGTAATTCGCTGAAAAATTAGATATAGAAGTTGGTTTAGAAGTTGTAAATTTAGGGATTATCAATATGGTTTTTTTTTTTTCTTTCGGATTATTGAGTAAAGGAATTCTGATTCGGTTTTCTTGCAGTTAGGAAATATTTTAGTTTTCTCCCTTAAACTTTTGTTCTTTCATTCTCTCTTTCTTCTCTCTCTCTCTCTTCTTTATTTCTTTCTCTCTCTTAACTTCTCTCTTCTCTTCTCTCTCTCTCCTCTCTCTCTCTCTCTCCTTTATTTTCTTTCTCTCTCTCTCTCACTCTCTCCTCTTCTCTCCTCTCTCCCTCTCTCCCTCTTCCCTTCCCCCTCCTCTCCCCCTCCCTCTCTCTCTCTCTCTCTCTCCACACGACACAGGGAGGACACACTCACGCACTCTTTTTTTTTCGCAGTCAGTGTTACCACCTTTAACCTTACGTTGGGTTGGCAGCGCTGATTCCCGCCGTCTCTTCCTTTCAGCGAAGGCGAGAAAAAAAAAAACGGCGCTCCTTTGCGGCATTTTTAAGCATTAATCGTCATTGTATACAATTAAGACGTTCTCGTGTTGCATAATGTATACAGAGGCCTTGGTTTTTTATGCGTTCTTGTTGGGTGGGAAAGTGCGTGCATGTTCGGTGTAAATTTACACATACACAACCCCCCCCCCGCCCATGCACGCACCGATGCACCGCACGAACGCGCACGCACATGCACATGCACATACACATACACACACACACGCACCACACGCACACACGCAACCGCACCACACACCACACACACACACACACACACACGACGCACCCACACACGCACACACACACACACACACACACACACACCACACAACACTGTGGAGATTAGAGAGAGAGAGAAGGCGGGAGGAGGAGAGAGAGTGAGAGAAAGGGGGGGAGGGAGAGAAGAGTGTGAGAGAATTCAGTGATCTACGATAATTAACGAAGGGTAAAAGGACTAAGAATGTTGACCGTGACTTCTCTTTTGATTTTCTCTCTCTCTTTTTCTCGTCGCTTTATTTCCCTCTTCCCCCCCCCCTCTCTCCTCTCTTCTTTCCTTTCTGTATTATAAATAAACAAGACATTGTTTCTTTGAAAAATATCAGCATCTAGAGAGCATCATCGTCTCTCTGCGCTTGACTTTGCTTTCAACACACACTGAAAGAAAGGGGAGCCAATTCACGAAAAGAGTTTTATCTGTTATCTGTTATCTGTCATTATCTGTTTATGTTATTTTGTTTTGTTTTGTTTGTTTTATTAGCTAATTTCAGTATTTTACTCATTGTTATAATTACTGTCATTAATTTGCCTCCAAAGGACCTCGTTACTCCAGCCCCCAGAGAAACAGGCCTCGTTATGGTTGGTAGTTACGCTAGTTAGAACCACCGGCTTAGGGCAATAGATCGTTACGATAAATTTAAAAATGCATATTGTGATGGTTGAAGAACAATGTCATTGCTTTCGCGCCGCACCCTCTCGTTCGCTCGAGCTCTCCTCTCTATCTCCTCTCTCTCTCTCGCTCTCTCTCTCTCTCTACTCCTCCTCTCTCTCTCTCTCTCTCTCTCCTTCTCTCTCTTCCTTCCTCTCTCTTCTCTCTGTTCACTACTCTCTCTCTCTCTCTCACTCTCTCTCTCTCTCTCTCTCTCTCTCTCTCTCTCCTCCTTCCTCTCTCCTGCTCTCTCGCTCTCTCTCTCTTCTAATCTCTATCTCTTCTCTCTCTCTCTCTCTCTCTTCTTCTCACTTTCCAGCCTTCTCTCCTTCCGCCGATTAACTATTCAACGGTTATTTTTCTTAGCATAGTTTTTAGCTTTCTTGTTTTATAAAAACCATATATGTTGTGCAAAATGGATATATAGTTAAGTTCATCAAACTATTATTAAAATCAAGTAAGTTAGAACACATTCTCACCACTAACTGCAGACCCGATCTATAGTATTATATTATAGTCTCTAGTATTATTAGTATTATAGTCTATAGTATTATTATTATTATAGTCTATCGTATTATTATTATTACCGTCTATAGTGTTTTATTATTAACCGTCTATAGTATTATATTTATGACCCGTCTATAGTATTATTATTATTACCCGGCTATAGCTATTATTATTATTACCCGTATTATGTATTATTATTATACCCGTCTATAGTATTATTATTCTTTACCCGCTCTATAGTATTATTATTATTACCGTCTATAGTATGATATGATTACCGTCTAAGTATTATTATTAGTACCCGTCTATAGTATTATTATGATTACCCGTATAAGTATTATTATTATACCGTCTATAGTATTATATTACTGCATTCTCGTTCCTATCATAAAAACATAAGAACAAATAACAAGCCAAGAACTCCCTCCTGTAGCTGGACGCCCATCCTCCGGCTGGTCGAGGGCGCTGACTCCGCCGACGACGCCCACGAAGAAAAAGGACTGAGGGCGTCCTGCAGCGGATGGCGACGGCGGCCGACCTCGGGGCCAAGCCACGGCGGGATGAAGCCAGGTGGGTTTTTCGTGCGGTGGTTGGTGTTGTTATTGGTGTCGATATTTTTTTTTTTTTTTTTTTTTTTTTTTTTTTTGGGGGGGTGGGGAGGGTTGTGTGGATATTTGGTGTGTTAACTTTGTTAGGATTATTACTGTTATTTTTTTTTTTTTTTATATATTGTTATTGTTGTTGTCATTGTTGTCATTAATCATAATTGTTGTTATTATTATTATTTTATTATTAGTATTATTTATTTATTATTATTATTATCATTTATCATCATCATTATTACTATCATCATTATTATAATTCATTTTGCCTCATAACCCCTCCCCTCCTCCCCTCCCTCCTCTCCCTCCCCTACCCCTCACCCTCCCCTCCCCCCCATCCCCTTCCTCCACTCCACTATCCATCTCACATATTTACACACACCATCATTATCATCATCATCATCATCACCATCATTAATCTTGATCCATCAATACACCATTGATAAATTGGGGCAATAAAACAGTCATAACGCCGTGAGTCCCGGCCTCTAGTTAACAGAAGCCGACTCGAAGCTGTTGTTGTTGTGGTCAGATTTTGAATGGGAGTTGCATTCAGCCGGGAAACAGTACTCATGTCGACCTTTTCCTTTGCTTGTGGGTGGGGACAGACAGTGGTGATAGCCGGCTGGGTGTAGGGGTAGGGGGGGTGGTCGTGGAAAGCGCCATCTATTGGTCGGAATTTTAATTGTTTTGTGTAGGTGGGGACATCTAGTGGTTGGTTTTAGAGTTTGGTGAGAAAAGAGGCCATCTATGAGTCCGGGATTTTAATTATTTTTTCATGACCAGAGAGACAAAAGGCGGAAGGAGCCGACCCATGATTCGTAGTTTTTTTATTATTATGTACAGATTAGGCTATCTTCGCCGAACGTAGTGATTATCATAAATCATTCTAAACGAATTAGATTTGTTATTATGAATCGAGAAAACCTAAAGGCGCCATTATTATTATCCGTGAGATAAGTGTCGTGATGTATATTTTTTTCCCCTCTTCTTCTTTATCTATCTGTTTCTCTCTACTTGTTCTTTTCTTTTCTGGGGTAGAGACATCTAGTGACGACCAGAGAGGGTATACAACGATAGTACAAATCGCCATATCCAGTAATGGCGTTTGGGAGAAATCAAAAGCTTTTTCAGAAAAGGGGAGCGTAATCCGAAAACAACCCAAATGGATTTTCTTCTGCACAGAGCACAATTCAAGGCGGCGGGAAACGCGTTAAATGGACATTGAACTTTTTATAACTTGGGAAGATAACGCTTCATCGAGGGAGAGAAAGAGAGGAGAGAGGAAGAGAGAGAGAGAGAGAGAGAAAGAAAGAGAGAGAGAGAGAAAAGAAAAGAGAGAGGGAGGGGGGGCGGAGAAAGAGGAATCGATGAGTGTTTGGGGAATTTTTCCTTGTAATCATGGAATTTGAAGGAACAGGAAGGAGATAATAGGTTCCCTCTCCTCTTTTCTCTCTCTCTCTCAATCTATCTATCTATCCTATCTATTCTCTTTCTCCTCTACTCTCTTTCTCTCTCTCTCTTTCTCTTTCCCTCTCCCTCTTCCTCTTCCTCTTCCTCTCTCTCCGTCCTTCCTCCTCCACACACACGCACACACTCTCTCTCCTCTCCTCTCTCTCTCTCTCCCCCCTCTCCTCTCTTCCTCTCCTCTCCTCTCTCTCTCTCTCATCTCTCTTTCTCTCTCTCGCTCCTCTCCTCTCCTCTCTCTCTCTCTTCTCTCCCTGCATCTCTCTTCTTTTCCTCCTCTGCTCTCGTCTCGTCCCTTCTCTCTCTCTCTCTCTTTCTCTCTATCTCTCTTTCTCCCCATCCAGCCCTCGCTCACTCACGGTCCCCTATCTCTCTCTCTTTATCTTATCTTTTCTGTCTTTATCTCCCAACTAGCTGTTGTCGATTATACTTTCTATTTATAACAATGTGTTATCATGTGTTTCTCTCCGGAATGACTGTCCATTCTTTATTTTACATTTATTATATTTTCTACATTATGTGACCATCTTAGTTCATTTTCTATCTACTTCTTTTCCCTTCTTTCTTTCTTCTGCGACGTATTTGCTATCGTGACCTTGACCATACTATAACTATACCGTTGAACGGAGCACTTATAATCGCGTGCACTCCCTCCCCCCCCCTGCCTCCTCCTTCCTTTTCCTCCTCCATCCCCCCCGCCACCCCCTCGAGTAAGTGTCCGAGTGCCAATTGGTTTCACAGGATGTCGTGGCATATCATCCGAAGGTGAATCATGCTTGGCGGGGTCAAGTTTGGAAACTGCATTATATTCGTTTGAATTGTTTTATA